CTGCTCCTCTGATGCTGCTTGGCCCGCTGTGTTCATCCAGCTCTACATCTTGTTATCTCAGATTCTCCAGCATCTGCAGTTCCTGCTATCTCTGAAACATTTCTATTTTTGTCTCTGATTTACAGCATTTGTAATTCTCAGTTTTGATTTTGTACCAGTCTCCTGCTAGCTTACCTTGAATGGAACTTAGAAACAGAAATTGCTGCAATGAACATAAACCAACAGTGAACCCATGCCTCGTGTATTTACTTAAAAAAGGAACATTCTGAGGCAACCATGGCTGAAAGGGAAGTCAGGGACAGCATAAAAGCAAAAGAAAAAGCATACACAATGTGTTGAAGATTAGTAGAAAGTTTTTAAAACGAGAAGATAACTAAAAATGTAATGGGGGGGGTGGATGAGAGTAAGCTAGTGAGGAGTATAAAAAAAAAAAGCATTTTTTAAGGTATCTAAAGAGAAGAGACAAGAGTGGACATTGGACCGCTGGAAAATGAGGCTGAAGTAGTAGCAATACGGAACAAGGAAATGGCAGAGGAACTGAATAGGTATTTTGCATCAGTTTTCACAGTGGAAGACACCAGCAACATACCAGAACTTCAACAGTCAGGAGCCAGAGGCCAGTGCAGATGCCATAACTAAGGAGAAGATACTGGGGAAGTTGAAAAGTTGGATTGCAGATAAATAACCAGACCGGATGAACTACACCCCAGAGTTCTGAAGGAGATAGCGGAGGAGATTGTAAAGATATTGGTAGTGATCTTTCAGAAATCACTGGAGTCAGGAAGGTTCCCACAAGACTGGAAAGTAGTTAATGTTCAGAAAGGAGGGAGGCAGAAAACAGGAAACCATAGGCCTGTTAGCTTGACCTCAGTTGTTGCTAAGATTTTAGTGTCTATTATTAAGGATGAGATTGTGGAGTACTCAGAAGTGCATGGTAAAATATGACAGAGTCAGCATGGCTTCGTCAAGGGGAGGTCATGCCTGACAAATCTGTTAGAATTCTTTGATGTGGTGACAAGCAAGTTAGACAAAGGAGAGCCAGTGGATGTGATTTACTTGGAATTCTAGAAGACCTTTGACAAGTTCCAGCGCAGAAGGGTGCTAAGTAAGATAAGAGCCCATGGAGGCAAGGTACTGACATGGATTGAGGATTGGCTGACTGGAGGAGAATAGCAATTAAGAGGTCTTTTCATGAGGACAGCTGGTGACTAGTGGAGTGCAAGGATCAGTGTTGGGACCACAACTACTCACGTTAGACATTAGTGATCTGGATGAAGCAAGTGCAGCCACTGTTATTAAATTTGCAGATGACACAAACACAGGTGGATTGACAGATAGTATCGAGGAAGTGGGAAGGCTGCAAAAGAACTTGCCCAGGCCAGGGGAGTGGGCAAAGAAGTGGCAGATGGAATACAATGTGGGAAAATGAGAGGTTATATATTCTGGTAAGAAGAATAGAGACATAGCCTTTCCCTGTTTAGAAAACAGAGTCTTCGGAAATCTGAAGTGCAAAAGGGACTTAGGAGTCCCAGTTCAGAAATCTCTTAAGGTTAACATGCAAGTTCAGTTGGCAGTAAGGAAGGCAAATGCAACGTTGACATTCATTTCAAGAGAGCTAGAATATAACAGCAAAGATCTACTGCTGACGTTTATAAGGCTCTGGTTAGACTGCATTTGGAATATTGTGAACAGGAAAGATGTGCTGTCATTGGAGGGGGTCCAGAGAGGGTTAACAAGATGATCCCAGGGATGAAGGACATGTCATCTGATGAATGGTTTGTACTTGGAGTTTAGAAGGATGCAGGGCTGATTTAATTGTAACTTATAGGATAGGAAGAGGCCTAGGTACAGTGGACATGGAGGAGAAGATATTTCCACTGGTAGGACAGACTAGGACCTAGGCACACAGCCGCAGAATGAAGGGATGACCCTTTAGAATTTAGATGAGGAGTCTTGGAGTCATAGGGCTGTACAGCATGGAAACAGACCCATCAGTCCAACTCCCATGCCAACCAGATATCCTAAATTATTCTAATCCCATTTGCCAGCACATGGCCCATATCCCTCTAAACACTTCCTATTCATATATCTATCCAGACACCTTTTAAATGTTGTAATTGTACCAGCCTACACCACTTCCTCTGGCAGTTCATTCCATACACCCACCACCCTGTGTGAAAACAGTTGTCCCATATGTCCCTTTTAAATCCTTTCCCTTTCATCCTAAACCTGTGCCCTCTAGTTTTGGACTTCATTACCCTGGGGAAAAGACCTTGGCTATTCACCCTATCCATGCCCCTCATGATTTTATAAACCTCCATAAGGTCACACCTCAGGCTCCAATGCTCCAGGGACAATAGCGCCAGCCTATTTAGCCTCTCCCTCTAGCTCAAACCCTCCAATCCTGGCAACATCCTTGTAAATCTTTTCTGAACCCTTTCAAGTTTCACAACATCCTTCCTATAGCAGGGAAACCAGAATGGAACACAGTTTTCCAAAAGTGGCTTAACAAACGTCCCGTACAGCCGCAACATGACCTCCTAATTTCTATACTCAATGCACTGATTTCTTCAGCAAGAGGTTGGTGAATCCGTGGAGCTCATTGCCACAGAAGTCGGTGTAGGCCAAGTCATTGAGCATATTTAAGACAAAGATAGATCAGTTCTCAATTAGTAAAGGCATCAAGAGTTACAGGGAAAAGATAGGAACAGGTTTGTCAAACATAGCTACCATGGAGTCCAAGTAAACTATGTCAAATGCATTGCCTCATCTATACAACCTGGTTATCTCAACTCAATCAAGTTGGTCAGACATGACCCCTCTGCCCAGCAACCCCGCCCCCCCCCCTCCCCCCAAAACAAAATAATGCTTACTGCTCTTCGAACTGCTTCCAATAGGTTCCCCACCACCAAGGTTAGACTGGCTGACCTGTAGCTTCGTGGTTTATCCCTTGCTCCCCTCTTGAATAATGGTTTCACATTGGCTAACATCCAATCCTTTAGCACTTGTCTTGTGGTCAGAGAGGAATTGAAAATTTTTGCAATTGCCCCTGCTATTTCCTTCTTTGCCTCACTCAACAACCTGGGATCATTCAGCCCTGGAAATTCTTTTATTTTTAAGCCTTCCAGGCCAATCAGTACCTGCTCTCTGTCTATGTTAATTTCTTTAATTTTATCACAGACTTGTTCTCTTGTTGCTCTCACTAGTGAACACATTTCTGGAGGAGGGTCTAGGCCTGAAACGTCAGCTTTCCTGCTCCTCTGATGCTGCTTGGCCTGCTGTGTTCATCCAGCTCTACACCTTGTTATCACAGACACAAAATATTTGTTTTAAAACATGTGTGCAGCCTCCAGGTCTGAATGGAGATGCTACTTCAGGAATAAATATTGCCCAGGTGACAAGGAAGAACCCTGCCCTCCTCTCTGAAATTGTGCCATTAATTTTTTTTTGTGCCCATCTGAGAGGGTAAACAGACCTCAGTTTAACTTTTCATTTCAAATGTATCACCTCTGATAGCATAGCACCTTAGGTGCTGCACTGGGTCATGAGTAAAGATTTTGTGCTCATATCTCTCAGATCTAAGTAAGCAAAGTATTCAACTGGGTGAAATGCCAGCAAGGATTTAAGTTCAACACTAGTTCATAAATTGTTTGTAAACTCAGAATTAATTGAATGCTTGCAATTTATGCAAGTGCATTTTTTCCAGAGATATTGTTGAGCTTTTCAAATGCAAAGTGCTTTCTTTAG